GAGCAGAAAGCCAGCATCTGTCTGGCTTCTGATGAGGACCTGGGAGGCATCATAGCACAGCTGAAAAACACGAAAGTAAAGAGAAGAAACAGAACATATTACATGGCCTCACTTTATAACCACCCACTGTTGTAGTAACTGATCCAGTCCTAGGACAACTGCAGAACTACGTCACTCTTCCCAATGACCTAACTTACTCTAAAATGCTCCACAATTTCTCAACACTATTACATGAAGAAACAAATGTCAACATGAGCTTTTGCAAGGACAAATCATCTTCAAAGATGGTATGTAGGAAAGAGATAAGATGAAGACACAGGTTAGGAAGTATACAAAATGTAAGTCAGGAGGCTCATGTACCCATTGGAGGTGGGTCACACATTGGGCTCTTTGCTCTCAAAGTACCAACTATTAAAATGTGAGAAATCATAATGTCTAGAGGACACAATTGGATCGTTCAACAGGATGAACTGTAGCTATCGAAACACAAGAGCTCTCTCCTTATCTCTCTGGTTTCTTCATGGCTTTTGACATATTCTATTGCATAGTATCCACATCCACTTCCCCATAACAGCTGCCATCACAAGTTTTATGAGGTGAAGATTTGTACGTGTGTGCATGTATCTGTGTGTGTGTGTGTGTGTGTGTATGTGTGTGTGTGCTTTCGGAAATGCTGGAGATTACACTGGGGGTCTCACACATGCTAGGGAAGCGTTCATCCACTGAGGTAATCCACCTACACATACTAAGTTTTTAAAGTATCATTCAAAGGGGCTGGGGATTTAGCTCAGCGGCAAAAGAGCCTGACTGGCAAGCGCAAGGTCATGAGTTCGGTTCCCGGTACCAGAGAAAAAAAAAAAAAAAAGTATCATTCAAGATAACAGAATGGCCTGAGGAATAAGCACAGTTCAGTTCAAAAGCAATTTCACAAAGAATCACAACTATTTAATAATTTTCATCTCCACTGAAAAATAGAACAGGACCACATAAATATAGGTATATGAATGTGGAAGTAATGTCTATGTAAATGTAAATGTGTGTATGTTATAATTTAAAATATTAAATTAAGGACAAAAAGAACAGTCATGCATGCAATAACTAGCAAGGGGAATGCATGCAGCCACTAGAAAGAGTGACAGAATAAGCTTTTTGAAAACGTTACCTACTAATAGTAAGTTTCAAGTAAGAAACCAAACCAGAAGCATTAGGTCAATTTGATAAACATCTGGATCCTATTCTCTAGCTCTCAATTACATCCCATGAAGATAATTTCAATACTTATTTTTATGTTATTGATGAGAAACTTTATAAAGAACTATTAAAAAGGGGAGAGGGGTGTCTACCAAGGTAGTATTTAAATCAATAATTCAATTTGAACTATAGTGCTATTCAGTTTTATTCAGCTCAACTTTTTATTGCATGCATATATGGTAGGATACCATAGGAAATTCAGAAATGATAGATCATAGTCCCTGACTTTAGGGTTTGTGAAGTTCCCTAACAGATTTTAATAAGATGCAAAATGGAAGAAAATAGAAGTCCTCCATATTGGAGTTGGGCAAATGCATTAAACAAGGCACTGAGACAGTATTTCCTCCTGTGTGGGTATCACTGGAGATGGACCTGTGAGAAAGAGTGGAAGATGGGTGGATGGAGGTGGCATTAGAGAAGGAGGAGAAACGGTAAGAAGGTAGGAACACAGGGTACACATGAAAGGGACATTGATGACAAAGTGAGACAATATTAAAGTATTTGAGGACATAGGGTCATCATGCTAAGGACAATGAGGGAAGAGACTGTTTTCATGAAGTAGGGAAGCAGCTGAAGACTTTAGATCTTATAATAATGTTTGAGGACCAAAGCATCCCTCTCTAAAAACATACTATTTCTTTCATAGGCTACACTGTTTAGAAAAAAAAAAATGGAGTAAAACTAATTTTAAAGCACATATTTTCTATATCCCTGCATGGGGGAAATATTTGATTGTTATCGAGAAAAAACCTAGTTGGAGCATGTTAATCTTGCTTTACTCAGATTTAAACTCAAGCACCTCCTTCCTAATGAGAAATAATAAGGCCTATTACTGAAAATCAAATATAACAAAATAGGCACATTTTTCTGATTATAATAATTCTAAACCTCCATGCAGTCAGTGATAAACAAAAAACCTTATCCTTGTTCTAAACGTTCTAGAGCACAGTCCAGTTTCAGTGCAAACTTTCTTAAATCTGAGCTACAACTTGTGTTTATTCTCTAAAGAGAAATGATCCTATGTTTCATATTTTAAATTCATGTATGCAGGCATAGGTTATCAAGGGATACAAATAATTAATCGGCCATTTTCCAATAATCTGACCCATTCTTGTTTGATAAGATTACTCACTTGAATTAATCCACTAATACAATGAAGTATTTTGCTCTAGGTATACACACACACACACACAGGAACATTCCACTAATGAGAGAATCTTAACAAGGCCACTCCCATAATGAACTCTACAGTCAGTAATATTTCAAACTAAACTGTTTAGCCCAGTGAAAGCAGAAAATAAGAAAAAAGAAAATCCAACCAGAGAAAGAACAGCTAAAGTAAGTATAAAGAATACGCTGAACAAAAACTACTTGACTCTAGAAATATTAGAAAGAGGAAAACGAGAAGAAATTAGCAGTTTCGCTGCCCTCTGCTGGCAGTAAGACCAACTACAGCATATACTAACGCAGTGCATAATAAATGTCCCTGTTATGAAATCAGATTTTTTTTTTCCTGTGCCAAAATGTCTGTAATAAAATTCCTGGTTGCTGGATGCCAAATTTCAAGACAGTTGGGCTCTTTGTCCCGGTATTGAACTTTTACATAGACTATTTTACTATGAAAAATATATTTTTTCATCTTGGTATACTTTATATCTTAATAGTCGAACCATCAAATTCCAAGATTATTTCATAAGACTACATGTAGATTGATGCCCAAGAAAGACGCTAAGTCAGCTTATAGCAATGTCTCCAAGAAACTGCCAAGACATTTAAAACCACTCATTTTTCACTAAATCCTGTAAATATATTGGTCCTAAGAGCAGCATTCCACCAGAAATAGTGAATTAGTTGAAAGGACTGGTACGTTTATGTTGACAACCTAAGCATTTTATATTCCTCAAAGCAAAAGATTTTAATTACTGGTCAATCTTAGGGTGGAATGAATTTCACCAATATGAGAACTTGGAACACCGACTTATCCTATGTGTATATGTCTTTTTATTGAATCCTCAGTAGGATTATTAATGAGAAAAGTTCAGGGGAAAATGGGTATTTGCTGACTTGTCCTTTGTTTTTTAGTAAAAATGCATTATTTCTTCCCAGTTCCAAAGAAGTTCTAAAATGCAAACAATGTGGTTTGCATTTTGGCACACGTCCCCCTTCTAACCTCCTGTGTGAAACTGCTTTCTTCAGGCATTTATCTAGTCCAGAATATGCCCAGAGAAAGTGTTGCTGCCCCTTTTTAAATAATGCAGTTTCCTGGAAAAGTAACAGTATTATTGTTGTTTTCAACCAAAGAAATGTATCAGATAAATAAACCATAGAGAAGCAAAGACTACCCAGGTCCATCAATGCAAAACAAGTACAGGTAACACACAACAGCATCCCGGAAATTTGCATTTTATTTTCAGATCTCCAAGTGTCATTATACCTGCCACCCCTCCTGCAAGAACACCAACACACACATCCCTCGGATCGTAAACAGAAGCACAGAGAAAATGTTGGTGCTTTCTGTATAAAAATTCATATTAGGGACACACATGGTGCTTAGACTCATTCTTGGATCTCAGCTTGATAAAATTTTATTCAAAGATTTCCTCCAAGACTCGCCCTCACCTGGCATCTCAGGTGTCCTCCCTAGCTTTCCAGCCGTGACTCATGTTTGACAACAGGGGACACATGTATGCTTTCTGAGGAATCATTTACCATCGCCTCTCCCCTCAAAGTAAATACACACACACACACACACACACACACACACACACACACACACCCCCAAGCAAAACAAAACCAAACTGCTTATCCTGACCAGGAAGTCTGTTTCTTTTTTCTTTTCCTCCCAAGTGTCTTTTGCTCATTTCACCTCTTCTTGAAGTCTACAGGAGTTTACACATCTCTCCCAAGATCTCTGTTTCTTTACTTTTATCATTGAAGGACACAGATGGGGAGCGGGTTTCCAGCTCGCTTTGGCCAGTGTCCGGGCTCCTCGCCCTGGAGTGCGGTTCCCTCCACTACATGCACCTGGCTAGGAGTGGTCGCCAGGGCAGGAGGTGTTGCCACTGGCAGGATGGGGAGACCAGCACTCCTTGCGGGGACAACGTCAGAGCAACCCGGCGCGTCCAGGCCTGTCTGAGAAGCTGACGGGCGGGGGACAATGGGGCCAGGGGTTGATCTCCAGAGGCGCGCCCGCCCCCACCTTTCCCATCTTGTCCCCACCTCTGAACCCGGCCTCTTTCAGCGCTGGCGCGCAGCAGCCCTGGCAGCCAGAGGCAGCTAGTGGGCTTCTCGCGGGGGAGGGACGACTGGCTGCAGGGAATTTTCTCCTGCTAAGGGGAGATATGTAAGCCCTGGCTGTCGCTACATCCCCACCCACCCCCGTGCGCACCCGCTCAGTGTGTGGGAGCCCCAGGGAAAGCGGCCGGAAGAGTCAGCCCGGGCTAGAGCTCCAGAGTGAGGTACCCACAGCAGTCTGCTCTCACACTGGAGCCTGCTCTGGGCTTCTTGGAGGAGCAGTATTACCTCCTGCTGTCCAGGTGAAGCAAGCCGAAAGCCTCAAGAAAACCCCTAATTCCTCACGTCTTTCTCTTGTCAGCTCTCTTCTCGCCATTTAGAAGCTCAAGTTTACCTGAGAAGAGCTGCAATAACTTCGCCAAGGGCACACAGAAGAGGTGGGGAGGAGTGAGACGGAGGGAGGGCAGACGGGTCTTCCGCGGCGCACAGAACCGGCAAGCCCGAGTGCATCTTACCTTTGACTCGGTTTCCAGGCTTCCCTTCGGCGAACTGAAAGCCGTCGGTTAAAAAGTGACAAAGTAACACAACTCCTGCAGCGGCCAGGTCGGCCCTCGGAAACCTCGCCATGCCTCTGCCTCGACCTCCCTCCTGCGTCCTGCCAATCCTTCCCCGGCGTCCCGGGCGCACGGTGCGGCTGGGGGAGACGTAGCCGAGCCCTGCGGAAATATCTCGGTGGGCTCCGGAGGCCTTAAATGTCGCTTGGACTTCACGCCCAAGGGCAGCGAGCAGGGAGGGCGAGGGCAGCGCACAGCTCTCCGGACCTTGGGGTCTCTCTGCAACTTACCACCCTCGCAGCCCTCCCCCGGCACAGAGCAGATGCCAGGAGGAAAAGCCACTCGCATCCAGGGCTCGCAAACTCCCGGGCAGCACCCGAGCAGGAGCAGCGCCACCCGGGGGCCCGCAGACGGCGACTTCCGAGTCCCCGCGCTGCGCTCCGCTGAGTTCAAAACAGATCTAATTCCACAGCCGGCGCCGGTGCCACCTCCAAACCGAAGAGGGCTGTGGGCTCCGGAGGAACTTTTCCCAGTCTCGGGATGGCCCCGGCCGGAGGCTGGGTTGGCTGGAAATTGGGCGACTGCGAGCTGCTGGCGAAACCCCTCCGACAAGTTTTTCTTCTTTGCTTTGCCCAGTGCTGGGCGCGCGTCCTTTCCGGCCGCCGGAGCGGTGGGCAACGCCGGGGAGCTGAGCCCTGGAAAGGTCCGGGCGGCTGCAGCCTGAGGTCCGAAGCCAGGGGTGGAGGGGAGGGGGGATGTGTTTAAAGAAAGACAGAGGAAGATCAAAAAGAAAGAAACAGGGGGAGAAAGTCGGTCTGGAAGCTCTGGAGAGGGCTCCTCCTGGTGAGGAGGAGGAAGTGGCCCCAAGCCCCCGCCGAGCCCAGGAGTTTGGTGGCGGAGGAGGCGCCACCGCCGCGCTCCCTCGCGCTCCAGCTCCGCACTTCGGGGAGGGAAGGCCGCTCGCAATTTGCCAGAGCTGCGGCTGCACCTCCTCCCTCCTCCCTCTGCCCTCCCCCTCGCTCCTCCAGGCTTCTCCCACCTTCCTCCCCGAAACCCGCGGCTAGCACCGACCTGTCCAATGGCTGCACTTTCCTCGGGGCTGGCAGAAGAGTCGCGGACAGATGAAGCCGAGGAATCGAAGCCAGGGGGAGCGAGAGGACAACCCCGGCCGCGCGCGGTCCCACAGCGCCACCGCCGAGCCGAGGGGGCGCCATCCGCCGTCCGGCCCGCGCTCACGCACCCACCTGGCTCCCGGGCCGCCTCGGTGCCAGGCTGCCGCGGGCTGGGATCTTCCAGGGCGCTGGAGGGTTAATGACAGCGCGCCTTTGCGAGAGGGTTAGTCTGGCCGCGGCTGGGGTGTGAAGAAAGCAAACCAGCAAACCAGAGCCCGCGGGGCTGCCGACCCCGCCGAGCCCCCGCGGACCCCAGGCCGGCGCGCAGGGCGGCGGGAGGTGGCTCGCCGCGGTGTGGTCCCGCTGCCGCCGCTGCCCCGGCTTTGTCAAGTAGCAGCGGGAGCGAAAGCGAGAGTTTAAAGGAACAGGAGGCCTATTGAGTTTCCTACGGGGGCTTTGACGGGCTTTCCCAAGCCAGTCTGTTGTTTTTTCCAGCTCTCGGGTTTGCCCCAGTGTTAACCCATTCGGGCCCTCTCCTTAGTTTACATTTTATTTTGCATACTGTTAACCTAATTTTAAAGAGATAGAAAAGCAGCCAAGTCTATTTGTTATAAAGTAAAAGCTCTCCAGCCAGTTCGGCCTGGGTAGTTTCCCTTCCCCCACAAGGGGCAACCAATCTTTCAGTCTTGTGCTCCCAAGCATCCAACGGGAGGGGTTCTACAGGGGCAGGGAGGCTCTTACACAGTCCTAGCAATGGATGAGAGGAGTTCATATAGTGCAATTATTTGAACGTTGCCTGTGTTTCTGGAAGAAAAGGGGAGACCAAAAGTGAATAATACATTGCTCCTGTTCTGGGTTCCAAAGATGCTCTTAGCCTGTTTTTGTCCAAGTCATTTCATGCTTTGGAGAGCTTGTGGATGCCAGCATTAGGTACTACGGTTTGTCACAAAACTCAGTAAAACTGGATTCAGATAATCAGTGCGCTCTGCAAATCTGATAAAATGCCGCTCTCATTTGAAACAGAAATATAACGTTTTACCTCCTTTTATCTTTAAAATAAAAATAAAAATAAAAATAAAAAAAGAAATATAACGTTTTCCCTAATATGAGGTTCAGTTTGTTTTTTATTTCCTACTAACAAATATATACGTATAAATGCCTGGTTATGCTTAGCTTATACGTCTGCATAACTATTGTTTTGGAGGGCCATGTTACCATAGAATTTGAATAGCTAAAATACTTCCTTGTTTAGCAAGTTTGAAAGGCTGAACATTCTAATCAAAAGTTGATTGTACTATAACTGGTGTTGCTTTTTATCTCTGCATCCCCCAGTGAGGTCCCTACTTTTGGGATCCATGTATAAAGCTTCCTAAACCCGTCTGTACAGATCTAGTTCCCACGATAGTCAAAATTATGGCAAACCTAGTAGGTACCACCTCAGAAAAGTACCTCTTTAACCAGGAGAGTTTCCTGGTTTCATAAAAGAAAAGAAGGAGAAGGTGTTTCTTTGAGAAGAAACAAGGCCCCACCTTTTCCGCCTATAGTGTTCTTTCCTTTCCCTCCTTATTGTATTGCAGATTTGCAATTTTAATTTTCTTGTTATTTGCCAGCGATATTTTGCCTTCCTGAGGCTATATATAGATCTCTTGTACATGGAAAACGGTTGCCAAAAATTGGAAAGGAACCTAATGGTAATTCCAGGACAGTCTGGACAGACTTATATTTGTTGGGCTGTCACTGTGCTGGCGAAATACATTGTTTTGTCTTATCTTTATCTTTTTTGTTTGTTTGTTTGTTTGTTTGTTTTGGTTTTTCTCCGGTACTGGGAACCGAACTCCCGACCTTGCGCTTGCCAGGCAGGCGCTTTGCCACTGAGCTAAATCCACAGCCCCTGTCTTATCTTTATCTTATTGTGAAGAGTGGACATATAGGACGTACTTAAGTATAAGTGAAATACAAATGTGCAAAAGTCAATCATGCTTGATGCTATCATGCTCAAAACTAAGAAAATATCATCATTGTGATGTGTTGCCTTACATGTCAACCAATCCTTATTTATAACATTTATTTTTCCTTTATACTATAGCAAGTAACAAAAAAAAAATATATGTAGGGAACATGTTCAGCGTGAAATGGAATTGGCTACTGATATGATCACGGCTAATGAAAAGTATATACATTGTGGCTACATTGAGTCTGGTATGTACATTTTCACCACACACTTTCATAGCAACAAATTAAGAAGTTTTTGTGGGAAAAGTTTCATCTCCTTTCATCTGACACGAGAGGTGTTCTACTGGGTGGGGTATGTTTAATATATATACATAAAAAGAAAAGCTAGTTATTTTATTCACTGACTTACTTTGAGTAAATGAATCAGGACTTGTCAAAGAGTTGTAGTTGTTCTTTGTCCAAGACAAAGGTCTAGAATTCACAGGACACTCTATCCTTTAAGATCAAGTAGCAGACTCATTCTTAACCACACAGAACTTTTAGCAAATAATAGACCTGAGCTATTATCTCTTCAGACCTCAAAGCTGTTAGCAATTTCTTATCTTCACAACCTTCAGAGAGATTTTTACACATCTAGGTGCAAGTATATCTGTATAAAGATTCTCCCAATTAATTAGACATCTTGTCCCACCTCCTACTATTAACAATGTTGTGCTTCCTAGAAGCTGTCCTAAATTGAAACTTGGCTAACAGGATGCTTAAGAAAACAGCATGCCCGCTTGGGGAAAAAAAGGAGATGCAATATAAACTGTGCAGTGCTCTGCATTTATTGTAATCTTTTAGAAGATAGCTTCTGTTCATATTAACAGTATTTGTTCAAACTTTCTACAACTGCTGTCAGATGAAGGGGAAATTACTATTAGTGGGCTGCATTTATTGAGTCCTAATATTATGACCTTCCTTTTAAGTCTCTAGCATTTCTTCTCCTTGCTCATTTGATAGGGCTAATTTTTGACCTCTACTATGCAATTACGAGAGTCATTTGTTCATCTTGGCTGACCTGCTCTCAGAGTCAGCAGAGGTTTTATTGTACACTTGGTGGCTATTTTAGCTTTTTGTTCTTTATACTTTTAAGCAGAAAAATTATGGGGTAGTATATTTTGAATGAAACAAGCATTAAAAAAATACACCTACCAGTTAATATCACAGTTTGGTTTTTTTTTTTTTTTTTACAAGAACATTTAATGTTACAGAATATTTACCTGCTTTCGGCCACATATCAGTACTACGTTTACTATTTAGAAGAAATTAAAACTTATATTTTACTTACTTGTAATGAAATAGTGCACTGCACTAAAATGGGTTTCATTTAATAGTCTTCTTTTTGAGTCTTAATAAACTAAAACATTTTGATCAGTAAATTGTAAAGCACAAAAAAGAGCAAGTGGAAATCATAGAAAAAGAAGTTAATGAAGTGGAATAGTATGTTATTAAAAATGATGGGGACATTATCTTGCATTTCCTTTTAAATAGCAACAATGTGTAGGAGAAATAAAGCCCTTTTCCCAAAATTATTGAACTCCAAGATAAGTTAAACACTTGCACTTTTGTGGAGGAGAAAGGAACATGGGCAAGTGCTCAGCTAGCATTTAGTGAATTCAAAAGCTAAATAAATGTGTTAAGGTATATGCCACACAAAACAGAATAATAAGAAATGCTGACATGTTTATTGTTGTTGACTTAGTTATCCAATTTTTCTGGACTGATAAATATATCAGAGCTCTAAGGAAAAAATAACTGTGGAGTGTCAGCTCCAGGAGAATTGTACTTCTGCAAAGCAGAGACCCTGGTGGAAGCTGTCACTCCGGGAGCAGTTCACAGGGCTTCTGGCTGCTAAAATATCCCAGTCACAGAGGCACACACTGCTGTGTTTCAGCATTTCTGCATTTCTTCTCGCATTCTGCATTCATCTTCTTTTCCTTTGTCCTAAATTCCCTCATCTACTTCCATCTCTGTGAATGTTTTATTGAGATATAGTCGGCATGCTTAAGATTCACCCTCTTAAAGTACTCAAATAATTCATTAGTTTTAGTATGTGCTAGGTTTA